AATTGGTTTGCACCTATAAATGAACTAGAAATTTGTCAAAACCAGTATAAGGTGTATGAGAAACTAGTGTAGTTTATGTAGAAAATTATAAGTTTGAAACTAAAAATTGAGCTTAAGTAACTCAGTATTTGTTAATTCTTTCACTCGGCATATCAATTATAAAATGCATCATGCTAATTATATCAATGCCAGCCCTACATATCAAATATTCTTTCACTGTGCACGAGTAACTGTGTTTGGTTACTTAAGATGTCACTCTTACTTTACTTTCATACTATCAATGTGTGAGAGCAATCAATTCCCAACAGGACTATGCTCTTTTGCTTTTCTTATTTTCTTCAAAAGAAACATATCATACAGGCCAGTTAATTTTTCTTTCTCTTCTAACAATAATCAGTTGTTCTTTTTCAAAAGAAACATATCATACAATCAGATTCTAGAATACAACACCCCAAAATTTGTGCCTAACAAATATTACCATATTCTTGTTCTTTCTTCCTCATAATCATCTAAATATCACCAGATTTATGTTATGCATTATCTCCATATCACAGTAACACATTGTCCTTCATAAGACACTTCAAATCAAAACGAGGCCTATCCACAATTAAAATTACTCAGTTCACACAAATCGCCATCACAGTCATCTATTTCAGATAAAAAAACCATCTCTCATACCTATCCTTTTAGCAGTAATTTTCAGAACAGAAGTGCATACAAAATCCTTAAGAACCAGCTCCATTAATCTTACTATTACAGATCTCAGGGAAAAAAAAAAACAAAAAACGACACTAAACACGGATCACATGCAATTAGGTTATACACAAACAAGGCATGCCAAGAGCCTCAGTATACGGCAATAATAACACGAATGAAACCCTACTTCAAGATATGAATTTGAATGTCAACTGCAGGAAGGGGTGCACGAAAAAGATAAAATCTAATCTTCGAAACAAAAAACCCATTAAAATGGAAATGGATTTGTACCTCACGAAATAATCCTGCGTTGGGATTTTGAAATTAAATTATCAATTCAGACCTCCTGACGTGCGATTCGAAGGACTGTTTTCGCCGACTGAAAAATCTGTACTGAAGGGACGCCGAAGGACGCGACGGTGGACGAAGGTTTCGTCAATGGAAGGATGAGATCCGTAGGGTTATTACAAAATTCAGAGATCTTCTTTTTTAAATCGGTATGTTTTTGAATTCAGAGATCTTCGTCAATGGAAGGATGAGATCCGTAGGGTTCTTACAAAATTCAGAGATCCGTAGGGTTCTTACAAAAGCTGTTGGTGTGAGGGTAATTTTGTAAGTTTAGGTACACAACAATCTTAAGTTTTTAACACCAATATTTTTTTATCATGGCTGGTAAAGCAAGATAGGAATGGACTAAAGCACAATCCGGCTTAGTAAATAACAAATACAATCTGACGTGGCAATATGAATGGATTATACTGTCTAATCCTGTCTTTGGTAGTAAACGAGGCCTTAAAGGACTAATGAAATATAGTCTGATTTCCCAAAAACGAAAAACCAAAAAACGAAATTGGAGAGTGATCCTAAGATGCAAGAGCGCAAGGTGCCCAAGCGAACAGTATGATTTCCTAAAAGATCCAAGAAACAAGAATACAAAAAACAAAGAGATACTAAACTAAAAATCAAACAGCAAAAGCGATTGAGTCTAGAGTTGACAATTTTTAGGTCCGCCGATCAACTCTAACTTATTGTAGAACTCAATATCAGGCATCTATTTCTAACGCAACCGTCTATTCAACTAACAATAACAAGAAAACCTAACGATATAAAATACGCCAAAATTCGCAAAAATTCGTATCGAATTTACGAAGAAGAAGAAGACTGAAGAAGAGAAAAGGGAAGGTGATGGGGCTAAGTCTCCAACTTTGGCCTGCATGTGTATGTTTCCCCTTTGTACATTAGCACATGCTAATATACGTGTAAATGGGGTCCCTCTTTGTATGTTCTTTCCACCATATCATGTTACTTTATAGCTGAAAAAATAATAATAATAATAATAATAATAATAATAAAAGCTGCCTAAATTCACTAGAGTTACTACATAAATGCACACACAACACGATCTTTGTTTTTTTTTTTTTT